CATCGCTCTTGACTTTCCGAATGTCCCTCAAGACCTGGTTGTGCCATCAGATCTGGGGACTCCAGGGAACTGGTGAACTAGTAAGGTGGCTCCATTATTAACATTGCTTTGCCCATTATTTCTTTTTATTTGTATTTTATAGTTATTAATGCTAATAATAATAATAATAATAATAATAATAATAATAATAATAATTGTTATTTATTAATTATTATTGTTTAGTTGTGTTGTACAGTCCCCAGAGTCACTTGTTTTGGGAGATGGAGATTTATTTGAAAATCAATCAATCAATAAATATTACTTTGTCCTTGTTTTGAGTCCTGACGTCCATTAATTTTTTGGGCAAAGATCCTCCCATTTGTCCTACTTATCTGTTTGGGGCTATAATAGACTGACACGGCTCTCCTTGTACATGGTCTGAGTGAAGAGTTTAATTGAATGGGGGTGTGGGGTGGCTAGGTTTCAAGTTGCATTCAAAGCAATTCTTCAGGAATGAGCCTCGCTAAGCTTGTCCTAAATTTAGCTTTGCAAGCTTCTCTGAGCCTGAGCGTATTAGGAAAGTGGAATGTGCCTTTTTTCCCTAACAAAAATAACAGTGTGAAAGCATCTTCGAGAGGAATTAATTTATTATGGCATAAACTTTGGTGGACCATAGTCTGCTTTATATTGACCACATAGCCCGTTGGTTTCTATGAAATACAACTTGGGGGATTCGGAAGTTGCAGAAATGGGTCCCTGGGCTGCCAAGCACTTTGGAATTGCAAGTTGTCCACCCCTGACTTCAAGCCAGTTTATTTAGGGCTATGACTGTTTCCACTTTTTCTTCCCTCACTGACATACTCTAGTAATTATGCAAATAACAAGGTGGGTTGTTTTTAGATTCTGCCTCCCTTTAAAGTGCTGTATTTTTTTCATAATCCACAAAGAAATAACAGCTGCTATATGGAACTGAAACTGTACATTTATCCTATCTAGTGCTGTATCCTACCTCAGATAACAACCAGCACAAATTGTGTGTGGGAAAAAGATATCTTGGAGTGATGTATTAACTGACATCATTTTTGAACTTCAAAACATCCGTAGTTTAGAGACATTTGAAAAACAAAAATTGTACTTCCAGCCAATCAGAGTGTTCCCATCTACAATTAATTTCTCTGATTGCTGTCTTTGAACTCAATTATCCTACTGGCCCCTGTAACATCTCTGAGCCATTTGTTCCTTGTGTTGCTCTCTTGACTACATGAATGCCATCTTTGCTCCGTTCCGATTTCATACTGTTGTTTTCTAATAATAACGCTGTGATTTCCCACTTTCTTTTAGCATTGTGAAAATAACATTCCATCTTTACTTCATCCCCAGCTGGTGTGATTTTGGTTCTATAACCAGCCCTGCGTCTCTTTCTCCCAGGCCTTACACTGTGGAGCTGGAATCCTACTATCAGACGGAGAATGAAGATGAAAGTCCTTTCATCTGTTCACAGCCTCGAGAAAACGGGATGCGGTATTGCCGTAGCATTCCAACCCGGAGGGAGGAAGGCCTGGAGTGCACCCTGGACTATTATTCCTACAATGACACCACTAATACCTCTTGTGTCAACTGGAACCAATATTACACAAACTGTTCTGCCGGGGAGCACAACCCTTTCAAAGGAGCTATCAATTTTGATAACATCGGATATGCATGGATTGCAATATTTCAGGTGAATCAAAAGGACTTAAATGGTGGTCTTGTGCTGCTGCAGTAACCAGGAAAATGAAGTTGGCGTTTATTTTTTAAATCCGAATCAAATAACAATCGAGTAGTTGAGAATCTGCAATTCCTGTTTTTCCTATAATAAATATAGGCTCTATGGGCACCAAGTGTGCATGTGGTTTTCTGTTCTTCTCCATTGAATTATGTCAATTTATTGTCATTGTGTTATTTTTTTAATGCAAAGATCTAATACAGAGGTGGGCAACTGGGAGCCCTAGGATCAGTCAGTGCTTCCCTTGGTCTTGTTTCATGTGGCCCTTTGCAAGTTATCCGTTTAGACCTCTGGTAAGAATTACCTTTCCCATAGCTGCTACTTTGGAGAAGAAGGAAAAGAAGCAAGGAAGGAAAAAAGGGAAAGAATAAGAAAGAAAGGAATGGTAGTTAAAATAGGTATCCCATCCACCTTTGGCCCTGGCCCATCCTACTATTTGATTCAGCCTTGCCTACCAAGTAGCACTGAACAGATTATCTCTGAGGGAATGCAACCCTCAATAAACAAAATATCTTGTGGGTGACCTAGAAGTTTCATAGATATCTTCTTAGATGTCTACAGTTCCTTGTCCTTCACAGCCCTTCATCCATCAAGATGAGCTAACCAATGGCTTCCTTTTCTTTTGCCTTATCACAGGTCATCACCCTGGAGGGCTGGGTAGATATCATGTACTTCGTCATGGATGCTCATTCCTTCTACAACTTCATCTATTTCATTCTCCTGATCATTGTGAGTTCTGTCTCCAGTTGTGTCAATCAGAGGCATTCAACTCAGGTTTCCACTGAGGAAGAGCCATGTTGGTGTGCATGGAAGGACTGATAAGACAGCACTTATTACTAGAGCCTGCACAACACAGTACCCAGATAGAAAAGGAAACCACATTCCATTTGCTTCTTGCATTTACAAGATGGCAGTGAAATAAGTTAGAGGAAGACCTAGTCAGTGATACTGGTTTCCTCACTATTTACTACTCATGCTCTCTGTTCCACATTTTTCTTTTAATAAGCAAATGCAGAAAAAAAGAACCAACTTTAAAAGTTAACATATAACTGGCATTAGATGATGCTTGAATTTGATCTACAGTGACAAAGACAAATGCAAATAATTTGATCTTATATTGGCTCTTATGTTAAAGAAACCTGCTGACCATGGTATTTTTGTTCTTGTTTTGGTAGCCTCAGACAACCTCTACACTTTCCTTGTAATATACATAACAGACTTAATAACAGCTGCTTATATTTTGTCTCTTTCTACCTTACCCCAATATATGTCAAGATTATACAAAACTTGTATGTCAAGGGGAAAAAGGGGGAACAGAATTATGGCAAATAACATTCAGGTAGGCTAGATATAGGAGCAAGTTTTAAAAAAACCTCTCAGATACATTCACGTTAATCTACATGGGTAGTGACTATTTAGGATCTGTTTAGAATTGTAGTTTGTAATTGTAGTTTAGAATTGTAGTTTAGAATTGTAGTTTGTAATCACTCCAACAATAATTAGTATCATTTTTACTCTTGGGCATTGCAAATGCAGACAGGGTACAAATTGTTAAGATCATCTGTGAGTCTCCAAATAGACATAGACAGAGATTAGAATATATAGCTGAAGCTCCGGGGCCACTTGTGATCTCTTTCAGCATCTGGAAACCACCCAGAGTTGTTACCAAGGGGAAAATTATTAAATGCATGACTTTATATATAAATCAAATGAAATCACATTTATTTTTTGTCCTACCCCACCAATGAACATTTTGGAGTATGGCCCTAGCAAAGACGCAGGTATAAATGATGGTAGGTATGATGGTGGGTAAAAATACAAACTGTAAATAAAACAACAGAGAAAATAATAATTTTTAGAATACTGGCTTGAAGACTTTGAGATAATTATTTACAGAGCATTAGAGAACATTGCAACAATTTGTACTCTTTAACAAGGAAGAGTAAATGTGAAACAGGTGTCAGGAACATCGATGCTTTGCTTTGTTTCAAGCCATTAAGGCCGCTGAAAGTCTGAAAGCAGTCAGAAAGCAGAGTTTAGGTAAATGCAGCCATGGAGGGAAAGCCAGTGTCCAGGATTAGAGGTAATACTAGACTAAACCTGGGGGGCACGGGTTCAACTCTTTCATGGCTACATTGAGCTATGTCAAATTCAGAGAGAGTGTGATGAGCCACAAGAGTACGGCAGAAACTGTAACATGTAGTGTAAGCCAACTGAAATCCTAAAGCTGATTATTTTTTCACGGTCTGGATCATATTTATTTATTATTTATAAGAAGTATATTCGCCAATAACCTTCAATCCTATTCTGCAAAAAAGACATTTAGATGGAAACAGACAAAAAGTTGGTCCCCCCAAATCAGAAGCAAATAGGATTAAAACTGTGTTTCAGAAAGCTCAGAAAAATAAAGATTTGGTCGGAGACCAAAAGACAATAACAGTGGTGCCAGGTGTAGCATGATGGAGAGCAGTGTTTCTCAACCTTGGCAACCTGAAAATGTGTGGACTTCAACTCCCAGAATTCTCCAGCCAGCATGCTGACTGGGGAATTCTGGGAGTTGAAGTCCACACATCTTCAAGCTGCCAAGGTTGAGAAACCCTGATGTAGAGTGCTCCATAACTGTAGCTCCACCACTGAGACAGGGTTGTTTTGTTTTGTTTGTGTAGCCATCTGCTGGTTTTCAGCTGGCAAAGGCTCCATTGGAGGCCCTCAGCTGAAGATCTTAAGGTATAAGCAGTTACATATGAAGATACATGTCCCTTCATGCCTGGGTTCTAAACCATGAATGTTATAAAGCCAAAGCCATACTTGGAATCTGAGCATAGAAATGGACTGAAGGCTAGGAGCAGTTGATCTAACACAGGCATAATATCATCATGTCCAGGCTGAACTAAAAATGTACAACTTATATTCTGCACTGAAGTTTCAATAGTCTTCAATATACTTCAAAGGCATAGTGCATTACAGTAGTCTTACCTAGGGTTTACAAGAGTATGAATAAGTGAGGCTGGTCTTATATAGGGTAGAGTAGCCAACTGAACTTTAATGGCTTTGCAGCTGGCAGGCCTTTGGTAGCTGACTGAACTGAAAGTAATTTTTTTCCAAGCACAAATCTTCCAAAGTTCTCTTTAACAAGCTTTATTAAATGGTTCCAACCATTTCAGCAACTGAACTCTTTTGAATTAGGGATCAATGTACAGTATTTATGTCTACATTAAGGTGGGGATATCCTGAATCTTTTTCTCACAGCCTCATAATACACCAGAGAAGAGGTAGGTCTCTTCTCTGATAAAAGAGAAGTCTGTAGTTGTGAATGAGGTACACAGCGGTTGCTTGAATCTTTATCAGTCCAAGAACCCATTTTTACACCAGTGGTGCCTGGCCATACAGTCCTGGGAAAAGTAATCTACGCTCTTGTTCCTTTTTTGCCACCAAAAACATTTTGCCTGCCACTGAGTTTTGCAATCAGTTATGTCCACTTACTTTGTCTCAGCTACCTCTGCAAATGTATGCACCACAGCTATAATCACAACAAGGATATTGCACCAATTGATTACGTCTGCAGTGGGCAAAAACTTTTCAGACATGAGATTTTAACACGAGTGCAGGCCAAAGAGGAACAAGAGCTGCAACTTCCATGGATGGGCAACCACCTGGTATCCTCCTAGTTAAGTAGACTGACCAGGACATCTTCTCGCGGGGGCAAGAAGAGGCAAACAGTGAAATGAGCATCATGATGTAAGCTCTGTCCCTTTTCTATACGTGCATTGTGACATTTGTTTTGTCTTTCTGACAAAACTGGTGGATTCTGTAGATGCTTCTGAAAAGAAGCAGGAGGAGAAAGATGGCCTCCCTCTCTCCACCCCCAGTGGAACATCTCTGAGGTCATCCAGAAGGAAGGCCACATAATGGTAGATGAATCTCCTGCCTTCTGAGATGGCGTGAGTAAATGCTCGATTTATAGAGTTAAGGTAGCCAAAAGAAAGGAATCGGTCATTGGCTGCTTTTTGAGACCTTCAGGTTGAACAGCCGTCATGATCTACATAAAATGCAGCCTAAGGAAGAGCCTGCTTCAGGGTAAAATTCTGAATCTTCAACTGCAGGCAGCTGCTGCAGGTTGAGTGCCAGCTAACAAAGGAAAAGATTTCTTCTGAAAGCAGCCAGTGACTCCATAAGGGAAGTATCTGCCTTGAAAACACTTCAAGTGAATTTGTTTAGGGGAGGGAGGGGGGAAAAACCTGGTTAATTGTCATCATTACAAGCCCAGACTACCAAGAAACCTTTTTAACTTAAATTATCTCTTTTTGAGCTGCAGTGTCATTGGTGGAGCTGAGGAAGCCTGAATGCCTTGATGTGAAAGAAAGGGAGGGAGGGCAGGGAATATCCCTGGATGCCTCGCATAGACACCGATAGCTGTCATCTTGCAGTGAGTTGGCAGCTTTTTTTCAAACTGCACAAAGTCGGTCTTTGCTGAGAGCCACTTCTGTATTATAATTTTTAGGCATAGATGTGCTCCCCACATGACTCCTGAGCTTGAGAAGTTCATGACAAACTCAGACTGTATAAAGCATGGGTTATTGAGGCATCATTGCAACACTTTCTAAGGGCCAGGGGGAGGATTGCTAATCAGTAGTCCTCTGGGCTTGCTGGGTCTCCTTCGTGTCACTGCCAGTTCATCTGTAAATTCCATGTTGGAAGCCACTCGGAAAGAAATTGAAATTAATTGACATTAATCCCCATATTGTTATTGCACAGCCACAGTTGGACTACTATGCCTGGTTCATTCCCTGTGTCTCAGAAAGAAGCATGAAGATCCAGAAAAGGTGCAAATAAGGGCAACCCAAATTATCAAGGGTCTGGAGTGAATTCTTTTATGTGAAACGGTTACAACAAGTGGGGGACAGGATTAGCATATTAAAAAGGCAAATACATGGAGACATGTACAAAGTGATGGAGGGTATGAGATTAGCGGCCAGGTAATTTTTCTCACCCTCTCAGAATAAAAGAACTGATGGTCATTCAGTGAAATTAAACGGTGACAGATTTAGGAGGACATCTTCATGCACCACATGGTTAAACTATGCTATCATAGGAAGGAATGTAGTGGTAGTGTGTCTCTCAGTACTAGTTGTTGGAAACATCTGAGAAAGTGTTACTGCATGCTTAGGGATAGGCAATCTGATGCCCTTCAGGACATTTGGATTTCAGCTCTCTTGACCAATAGTAAAAGTCTGTGGAAATGGCCAAAGAGCTATTTCACTGTCAGCAATTTGGTCCTGATCCAGCAGGACATTCTTGCAATCTCAGAGAAAATCTGCCTGGGTTGATGTGGCAGAATGAAGGAATGACACCCAAAGTCATAGAACTACATAGATATAAACCAGTATAACTATTTCTGATCAGAGGCTTCTCTGCTGTCACAAGAGCAAAATGTCTGTAACATGATACACTTTAAGGAACAAAGTGTCTTTGCCATATGCCTTTTATGGCTTCTTGACTTCTATCACACTGCCCAAGCGTTTAAAAGTCTACAAAAACCCAAGGAACCTTTTCATGTCCAGCGCATTTGCCCTTCTCTTGCTATAACCATCTCCTTCATGCAATATTTTATTCTCTTTACATCTCCTTAAATTGTAAAGGCAATTTGTCATGTGGCTCAGAGGAGCTGCTGTTTAAGAAATATGAGCCAAAACAATGCTTGCTTGGAGGCATGCAGAACTGGTTATTCAGTTCTTTGGAGTCCAGCCCATTTTTGAAAATATAACTTAGAGAATGTGTTTAGATTTCAAAATTGGCATTTGTTTTGTATAGGTTGGGGTTTTTGGAAGCAGAGTATGCATAATCTGCTCTTTACCCTTACTGGAGTCTATGGGAGCTTTTTTCAAGCCTAATTGTAGCATAAGGTCGGAGGGGGTGATTCATAGGCTCATAGATAGTCCTTCAAGCACTGCAGTTCCCCTCTTCCAATGTGTAAAGCTGTGCGGAAATGGACAATATTGGTCAGGTATCTCCACGCACTTCTGAAAATCTTGCCAAGAAAACTGCATGGACTAGTCCAGGCAGTTGCCAGGAGTCAAGACTGACTTGAAGGCACCAAAATTAATAAGAATAAGAATAAGAATATGAAAACAGGCATGGGTATATGTGCAGAATTGCACCATTAGTCTTGAATTTCTCACATTTTTATCGCGAAAGAGTGATCTCAGGTGGCCTCCCATCCAGGTCCTGACCAGATTCAGGTCAGCCTAGTAGCTTCAGTGTTTGTTGCATGATAGGCCTTCAAACCTTTGTCCCTGGGATGAAATGTTAAGGTGTTTGGTGCAAGATTCCCCCCCGCCTTGTGTCATAAAACAATATGACTTTGGTTTGGAGTCTACATTTGTTTTGAAAATAAAATGCTTTTTCCATCTCTACATACTCTCGGTCAGATGGTCTTCTCCGTGTAAATAGGGCTAATCACACACCTACTTTCCTTTTAGGTGGGCTCTTTCTTCATGATAAATCTCTGCCTTGTGGTCATAGCAACTCAGTTCTCAGAGACCAAGCAGCGAGAGAGCCAGCTAATGAAGGAGCAGCGAATCCGCTACCTCTCCAACGCAAGCACGCTGGCTAGCTTTTCGGAGCCAGGAAGCTGTTATGATGAACTTCTCAAATATCTCGTCTACGTCCTTCGTAAGGCCAGCAAACAAGTGATGGAAGCCTGTCGGACTACAGGGGTAAAGATGGGCTTTCTCTCCAGTCCAGGCAGTAAGAACAGTGCAGAGAGACAACCGTGCAAACATCGTCCACGGAAAAGGTCATCAGTGCATCACCTTATTCACCACCACCATCACCACCACCACCACTATCACCTAGGTAATGGAAGCCTACGGGCACCACGAGCCAGTCCTGAAATTAGTGATGTTGAAACCAGCTCCCTTCACAATGGTGCCAATCGACTGATGCTTCCTTCAGTAGTCAACCCTTCTCACATGGCATCTGGCAACACTGAATCTGTTCACAGTATCTACCATGCAGACTGTCATTTTGAGCCAATTCATTGCCAATCATCTCTCTCTCAGGTTGGTCTCAGTTTGCCAGGACCTGAGGTGCTTCCCAAGACTGTTGTTGGCAGCAAGGTTTACCCAACTGTACACCCAAGTAGCTCCCATGAACTCCTCAAAGATAAAGGTTTAGCAGAGTCCACATTGAACCCTGGGGCTAGCACACTGATGAACCTTAACATCCCTCCAGGGCCTTATAGTCCAATGCAGAAGCTACTGGAAACACAGAGCACTGGTAAGTATTAAGTCTGGATGTTGACCACTCAGTCAAGCTTGGATGGGAGGCAGAGTGGTAATCCTTGTGTTGCCTTTTTCTCTATCTCGTCCTTAGCAATTCCACTGAGCTACATCTGAGTGACAACAGGTGTGATTTGCTTGTGGAATCCCAGAAAGGGTTGCAAAAATTCCTGCCTGAAACTCTGGAAAGCCATTGCCAATCAGTGTTTACAGGATGGAATCTGAGGGACAGACATTTTGAAACAAGGGTCAAATTTAGTGACTGAGTTCACACCTCACATTACACCATGGTTTTTTACTTAGGTTTGTTGGAGCTACTATGGCTGGAATATGTGAAACCAGTGAGAAATTAACACAAAAAGTATTAAAGGCATATCCTTTTGGCCTACCCAGATCTGGAAGATCAAGTGTTGCTTTCGAATGCTGCCTATCAAGTGGGCAAGTCTACAGGCTTCCTGTTTAATGGCAATTGTCCTTCCATTCTTCTGAGAAATTAGGTTCTCTAAGGATTTGTCTAAAAGCTGAGAGAGTGAGAGAGAAAGAAGAGGAGTCGGTCTACATATAAATATACAAGGATAGTAATGTGTTTCTGTTTGCCACCTTCTTTCCTACTGGTATCCATATCCTTTTGAAACAGTTGAGAAGCATGCCAGCGACTGACACTTTTGGAGGCCGTGGGCTTCTTCCTCACAAAGTTGACTTGGGATCACATTGATCCAGTCCTGTTGAATATCAGGAACAATTCTAAGTAAACACGCACAGGACCAGCCTGCATCTTCTGTAAGTTGTAAGAGGCTCCCATCTGGAAATGGGGAGTTTTGATCATCATCCAAACTCCTGCAAATATTTATCTATTCAGAAGCGTGGATGTTCCCCTGTAACAACACAGTTAATGTAATGTAAGGGTGGCCTCTAGAGAGTCCACATTTCACTTTCCAAGATTGCTCTCTGTGTTTGCAGTGCTTTTTGAAGTGCTCTAGGCATAAGAAGCTTTCTGGGAATGATGCAGGGCCAGCTCGCCAACATCTTACAATTTGTGTCCAAGAGAAGGTCAGGCTAGGTGATCCAAGGTTCCCTGCTGGCTTCAGAATGAGATAGGAGTTGTGGATGGACTTAGAATGAGTTCTGAGGACAAACTCCTCACCTCACTGTAGCCAACTTCACTGGAGACTCTTCTTGTTGTATTGGAAAGCCCATCTGTCAGCTGGGATCAGTTATTGCAAGGAATCAGTTCAGAATGGTGAGTTGGAAGGGAAGCTGTTAGCAGTGAAGTATCAGCAAGCAGCAGGAGCCCATAGGCTGTGGTGCTGTCTCTAATTACAGCCCCTAATATTACTCGTGCCAGAGAGTTGATTGCTTTCTGTTTCACCTTAATGGCCAAATGGATAATGAAGTAGCTGCAAGTGCTTGCCAGAACTGGTGACTTCTAGGTGTGTGTGTGTGTATATATACACACATGTGTTTGGCTCAGCCTCACATTTGTAAATCCGTATAGATTTCAACAAATCGAGGTAGGGATCTAAGCAACCATCAAGCACTTTCTCCCCTGAAAAAGTTGCTGCTGACATTGAACTAAAACAAAACTTGAGGCTATTTGAGCAACCTATGGAAGAATTGTTCTTTTCTTTAGTGTGGGATTAAAGGGATGGAGTTAAATAGTATTGATAGTGATTTCCCTGAATAAATATTCTGGGTTTCCCCCCTCCCCTCCGGCTTGCTTTGGCAAAGGTCATCTTCAGTTGGTATAGCACAAAGCACAGTGTTGTGTTGTTTTGAAAGTCTTTTTTATTGTCTAACAAGGGATGTTAATTCTGATCTTGCTCAATGGAAAACTCTTTGCGTAGTTATATACCACTGACGCTTCTGCTTGAATGAAAGGTGGTGTAAATTAAGCCGTGCAGTCTTTTAGGCTTTAATATTTTGTGGAGACATTGCAACTCACATGCCAGTCCTCTAACAGATGCAAATATTTCCCAAGGAATGGTTTGAATGAGGTCACTGAAAACCTAACTGTGTTTTGTAATATCCAGAGTCACTTTCAAATGTACAGTTGAGCATAGATGGAGATTCACAGTTTACACTGTTTTGGCAGCTTTTCCAACAGGTTTCTGAGGGTGCTCTTGAAAGTTTCCACGAACTCCTGTGCAAGTTTGCACTTTTTCAAGGTAGAATTCAGGGGTGTCAAAAAAGTCAAGATGTCAGCCACAATGGTGTGATTAAAGGTCTGCCTGTTTTTTATATGTGTCACACCATTGTGGCCACCATCTTGACTTTTTTGATACACCCTGCGGACGCCCCCTTAACAGATAAGATCATGCCTTGCCTATCCCAGACAAGAATCTCCTTGATCCATATTACTTAGAGAGGAAGCAGAGAAGGACCCCGTCCAGACATTTGCTTCACAACAGATTGATCAGTCCAGAACAGTTCAATAAGTCTGACCAACCTTAATTGGTCAACTCTTTACTTGGTAAAATCAGAGACCTCAAATTTCAAAATAGAATCTCATTTTCTGAAGGACTTGTGGCCTTCAATTCTCCTCTCATTAAATCGGGCAGACCCTGCTGGGAATAGTGCTGCAGAACAAAAAATATGTTAATGTTTTAAAAACAGTCAGCTTTTATAAATCTAATCATGATTCTAGATCTCTTTTGCTTAGCCTTAAGAAAGATTTGAGTCAGGTTCAGGAGATATTTCTTTCTTTCTTTATTATTCATTCATTACATGAATGTACTCCGAAACAGCCTCTCTGCTCCATTCTCAGTACAGACCTTAAAAGCATAAAATATTAGAACATTTATTTATTGCATGGTATTTATAAATTTTTGATCCTGCATTTTCACTGCTAAAACCGTTCCAAAGTGTGAAAAACTTTTAGAATAGCATTAAAACCCTTAAAAATGGAAAGCAACTAGAGAATAAAAGCAAAGTAAAATCTACAGTGGCGGAAAGCTCTAAAATGTAGGATCACAGCTTTCAAAAACCGAAGGACTGAATATCAGGGAGGATAAAACAATCTTCACATGGTTCCAAAAAGAACACAGTGGAGACAGCTGATACTCTCTGGACTTCCAGAGTTCAGATTATGGGCTGGCAAAATTGTTGCAGTCATTGTTATGCTTGATAACATCATCATCATCATCCTCATCATCATCATCACCACGCTTGTGCTGCTGCTGTTACTGCAGCAAAAAAAGGGGGCTGGGCTGCAAGCAAGCTATAGGCCATCCACTCCCGCCCCCACTCTATGTAACCAGTATTAGGGTTCAAATATAGTTCTTGCCAAAGTAAAATATCCTTGTACAAAGTATGGATGAATAAATCTATCTGATTTGATCTCAATTGGTTTCTCTTGTTGAAAATCTTTCATTCATTTTCTCCTGTTTCAGTATCTTTTCCCTTGATTTCAGAAATGTCCATGAACATTCATAGATGTTTTCCGGCATACTTTACTACATGCATTTTTGTACTAATGTAATATTAATTCTTAAACTGATATCCTGGCTTTTCTCTCAAGATGGCATACATAGCATTCCCCCCCACCCTATTTTTCCCCAGAATAACAATCCCGTGGAGGAGGTTGTGCTTAGTTGCCCCGTGAGCTCCCATGGTTTGTACTTGGGTATCAGAGGCCCACGTCTGACACTTTAACCACTGTATCATACTGGATCTTGCATATGACTCCATTTTTTTTCCTGCACTCTCTTTTTTATTTGCACTGTGTTGTTCTCAAAAGTATTGCACATAATCTGAAGAAGAGTAAATACTGATGGCTAGTTACATTTCAGTTCATGCAGAGTAACCTTCCCCCACCTGATGGTCTTTGGATGTGTTAGGCCAGTGTTTCTCAACCACAGCAACTTTAAAATGTGTGGACTCCAACTCCCATCCTGGCTGGGGAATTCTGGGGGTTGAAGTCCCCACATCTTAAAATTGCTGAGATTGAGAAACCCTGTGTTAGGCTTCCACTACCATAAGTTGTCATGAAAGTGTGAACCAACATAATATTTCCCCATTTTTACTACTGGCTTGAAGTCAGCAGTAAAACTCAAGGGAGATGGCCTGAAATTCTTATGATTTTTCTCAAAGACAAGCCATATTTGGGTCTTGTCAATATTACATTGTTCATCTGTTCCAAAATGGGAACTTTAAGATGCCTGATAAACTAAGATTGAATATTTGTCTTCATTTTAGGTCCTTGCCAAAGTTCCTGCAAGATATCCAACAAGGGGGGGAAACCTGATAATATTTGCAACCCAGAAAGTTGTCCCTATTGCACAAAAACTTTGGCTAACAGTCCAGAGCAGAAGGATCACGAGGCAGGAGACTCAGACAGTGATGGAGTATACGAATTCACCCAGGATGCTCACTACAGTGACCAGAGAGACCCTCAGCGCTGGAAAGCTCGGGGAAGAAACACAATAAAAATTCTAGTTTTCTGGAAGGTGGTTTGTGAGACATTTCGGAAGATTGTGGATAGCAAATACTTTGGCCGTGGGATCATGATCGCTATCTTGATCAATACCCTCAGCATGGGGATTGAATATCACGAGCAGGTAAGCAGAACAGCATTTCTATTTTAGTCCTTTTGGCTCGATTTTCCCTATGGCCAAAAAGCCCAGGGGCTGGCCTTGTTAGCTCCATCGTGCTTTTGTTCTTAGTCCCTTGAGTGAAATTCGTTCGGCCTTGATTAACATTGACCGCTCGCTTTGTGCCTCAGTCTGCTTAGCCAGGTTGGTCCTGCTTGTTATTAGAAGACACTGCAATGCATGTCAAGGGCAACGATGGTGGCAGATCTTCAGCAAACACTTCTTAGTGTGCCAGCTAACGTGGAGAGCCCCACTGGAGGCTGGAACCCATCTATTGGTTTGAAACTGAGTAAAGCACAGAGGCTTGGAAGTTTAAAGTTAAGGAGGGGGGTTAGTCTGGAGGTTGGCAGGGCTGGCTCTACCGTTGGTCAGATGGTGGCAACAGTCTCAGGCAGCAGAAACTCTGGGGTGGCAACCAAGGGGAACCGGGAGCTACCCAGCCCCCCAGGTTAGCCTGCTGCTCTCAGCTGCGGTAGATATCTTCTCCCACCGCCAAATGTGGTCAGGATGGTTTTGGGGGAAGGAAGAGGGGAGGGAGGGAATCTTAGTCCACCCCAGGCAGCAAAAAGGGTTTGACAGCTTAAGTTATAATCAAGATGGTAGTGGAGGGCATGAGGCTCTGAGGTGAGACTGAGAGTTGGTTGTTGCTACGCTCTTCTGCACTTTGCAGTAACAGTGGGAGTTCCTTGAATTGACCAGGGCTGAAAAATTATTTATGTTAAATCATGTGATGCTTGTTTTTTAAATAGCTACTTTATAAATAACTATTTGTGTTAAAACATTTGATATTTCTTTTGGTAATAGCAACTTTATAAATAAAATATCATGAAATAGGCAAACTACAGGTGAACTGTACCATGAAATAAGTACCACACCTGCATGCTTTTTACAAAACCAAATGCCATCTTTCTCTTGCAATTGGGATGATGTTGTCATCCTTTATATAAACATGCTGGTTGCTCAGATCAGTCCTATTAAGGAGATAGGATCTGTGTTTAGGGATATGTTTTCAAAAGAGTCAATGGGCTTAAAAGAACATCACAGCATTTAGTTGACCTTGGCAGATCTCTTAGATCTGACTAGGATTTGGATGGGAGACCACCAGAAAACCCCAGGACTGTACTCTAGATTGGAAAATTGAAAAAAGATCCTGGAAGAAGGCTCAAGCAAGCTAGTTCTGTGGTAAGGTAAGGTAAGGTAAGGTAAGGTAAGGTAAGGTAAGGTAAGGTAAGGTAAGGTAAGGTAAGGTAAGGTAAGGTAAGGAAAGGAAAGGAAAGGAAAGGAAAGGAAAGGAAAGGAAAGGAAAGGAAAGGAAAGGAAAGGAAAGGAAAGGAACATGGATATATCTGAAAGTCAAGTGCAGATGAAGAGAGACTAATAGAATTGGAACCAAGAAGAAACAACAGCACACTGATTGCACTGAATTGCCAAGTGTTCCATGGTCAGCATATATGATTGCAGATTTGAGGCTTGGCATAATGTTTCAATTCTCAGAGACCTGTGTCATTTCAGTTCCTGACGATGAATCAAATAATTTTGCTTCCAGTTAAATCAAGTCTGACCTTCCCTTCCCTTCCCACCTTTCTTCCTTGAATGTCAAACTTATTTTGACTCCCATTTCCTGTTTAGAACCTGCCAATAATTACATTTAATTGTTGAGAGGCTGATGCAAAGTTTAAATGCGTGGTTCTATTGGTCCCAGTATAGAAAATAAACAGAGGCCCCTAAGATGGCTAGAGGTATCGCCTTAATGGTAGCCTCTTCTTAAAGAACTCATGTGAGTATATATCCTACCTGCTCAAACAAGTCAGATACAAGTTAGAAACAGGTTTTACCTGTAGAATTGGTTAAGGATCATCATGTCAATCAGAATGGACATCTGGCCTCACACCACGGTATGTGATGGAGTCTTTGTTGACATGCCTGGGAGCGTCTCCTGATCTGGGGCTGCCAACTATTGTACCCCATTCACTGTTCACAGGAACAGCTTGAGAAGCCCACAGATTCCCACAGTTTTGTGAGGGAAGGGCCTAAGGCATTTCAGACTTTAGTTAACAGCAAGCAAGCAACATTATGCTCAATAGTGAGGTTCAGACAATCCTGGCTGCTGAAGAAATAAGCCTAGTTGGGTTAGGTATTGGTTGCAAACATAGGCATTTATCCTTTAGATTGTACGGCATACATTTAAACTAACTTTGATGTCACTGAAGCAAGAAAGAGAGTCCATTTGGTGTAGTGGTTAAGGTACCAGGCTAGAAACTGGGAGACCAGGAGTTCTAGTCTCCCCTTAGGCACAAAGCCAGCTGGGTCACCCTCTCTCAGCCCTAGGAAGGAGGCAGTGGCAAACCACTTCTGAAATCTTGCCAAGAAAACTGTAGGGACTTGTCTAGGCAGTCTCCGGGAGTCAACACTGACTCAAAGGCTCCCTCTACCCCAAAGCAAATAGAATGGACGAAGCAGCCCAAAGGGGCAAAGTGTATGGTGTCTGTAAATGGGTATAATTCAACCCTGCCTTGTGTGTGGGTAAGTGCGTGTGTTTTGAATAATTTTGGGGGGCCATTGGAATCTGATTGGAAGACTGGTATGGAGGGTTAATCAATTTTCCACTCAAAATATCTCCCCTAGAACTTTTGACCACATGTATGCAAGGGTGTATGTATCTATCTTTTCTTCTGTGGGGAGTAGAAGGGCAGTTTGGGGAAGGGGACAACAATGGAGGTTAAATAGGAAAAAAGCTGGTTACAAAAAGGTTATGTATTTTGCCACATGCTCTTCATAGCCAATCCTCCACCCAAATTCACATTTTCCCGATTCAGTATTCTCCCCATTAAAATAGATACACGCTCACTTGCTCCTGCATGTAATTACATAGCTTGCTCCCATACTGCTATGCTGTGTTACTACAGACAACACTTCATAGACTGTTGGAGCTTCTGCCTTTTAAATCACTTCCCTGCTCTATAATTTCCAGAGAATTTTCCAGCTGTAAATCTCTGGGTGCCTCACTGGGAACAAGAGATGCTGAAGATGTCTAGACTAATGTGCGCTGAACATACAGTATATAGCTAGCTGTCTTCCTCAACCTGGTGCCCATTAGATGTGTTGGAGGACGGCACCCAGCACAAGTGGAACAGTTTAGGAAAGGCCGACGTATGGGACCAAGCTACCTTGAAAGCACCACTGTTGCTGCTTTCCTACCTTGGCTTTCTTTCTTTTTGCTGTTGAGCACAATTCCTTTTCTTTTTGTATTCAGCCTTTGGCAGCACAGTAGCAACTGCAAGCTCAGTTCTGCAGCTGTTCAAGCAGGTTACAGTGTCATCCCAGTGTATTAATATATCAGTGGCTATACATTATGGGACCAAGGCTCATTTGTATGCTCAGTGTGTCCCCTCAAGCCCATGCACTTCTGAAATCTAAATGCAACAGGACTGACAAGCTTTTGGGTTTTGTTATTTTAAATAGAGTGACACTATTCAGCTCATCTTGGTAGGATCTATGGCATGTTGTTTGACCTCCATATGTTGCTCTTACTCAAAATACGTCTCCAGAGCCAAAAAGAGGATGAACTGGGTGCTTTTGAAAGGCACTGTCCTTCTAAGAGAGACACTAAGCAAATCATTTCTTTGGAACCTGAGGGAAAATGAGGAAACTTAAAGTAAAGTTCACTTTTGACATTTTTGACCATTTGAAGCCCAGGTGGTAATGTCATTTCTGTATACAGTATGCTAGATTTGGGGAGATTAACTTGCAGCTCCTCTGACTGCCCTTTCCATTATCTCTCCTTGTCAAAAAGTCTTACTAGGGATATACAAGGAGAGAATGCAGAGACCAACCTACTTTTCTTAGACTGATCAGAAAATTTGTATCCATATCCAAAGGGTTATGAATATACTTGATTTCCTTGGATCAAGGATAGGCAGTGGACTACCCCAGATACCTTTATGAGTGCCCACCAAATTTCCACCCTCATCTGACATTCCTTAAATACCCTTTTAGAAAAATAAATGGGAAGCTGGCATGCTCCAAAGTGAGGCAGCCGTTTCTATATATTTATTTGCCTCACAAAGGGTCCCACAAAGGTTCCACTGGGATGGGCTGGAAGCATCCTGAAGGACTAATTGGCCTCCAGCTCAATGAATGTTTGGAGATGAGCTGTGCCCAACTGTGGCACCATTTTCTGAATAGGTGAGTTTCCATAGCCCCATTTTATCAGTATGTTCACAGCATACTCTTAGGATCTCCCCAAAAGTTGCATACATTCTAAGTGGTGGAACTTTTAAGACTCCTGTCTTTAGGAATGTAGGTAAAAGAGAGTCACATGGCCAGCACAAAAGGTCTTGAAAGATTCCATATCTGGAATTATATAAGAAGGCGATGTTAACTGACAACTGTATGGGTATTATCTTTCTTTGAAAAAAATAATCAGTCTAGAGAAATGCAGGTTCCAGTTCTTTTCCAGACTCTCAGAATAAATTGTGATTGTTGAATCCTGCTTTTGTTCATTCATGTAACAAAGGGGTAGTAAAGCATAAGGAAATGTTTTCTGGTAAACTCCTGGAGCTTACAATATGTTGTTTCCTAACTTGAGTGGTATGAGATACGGTACTGGAGCTAAGAATTGTTACTTCTGTCTTTTTTGCTGAGATTATCTGTTGTGAATGTAACCTTCCCACCTACCCACCCCAGTATAAGAAGAAACTAATCAAGTTATCTAAGTGTATCTTCACCTTAAAAAAATAAATTCAAAAAGATGTTATTAATTGTTATATTAGAGAGTCTTGCCTCCTTAATGCATGTTTACAGATTTCGCATTTTGAAACAGGCTGAAATTTGGTTTTCAGCCACACTAAGCTAAAGATTCACTGTTGGAAATTTTAGCAGTATCTCACAACATTCATAAAGTTGAACAGTAGAAAGGGAACCAAACAGGACTGCTTACAATAAAATAAAAGATACATTTTTCAACT